CATCATGAGGCAGCATGGTACTCATTTACATCTACAGTTTAGTTAAGCTACAGTTATTGCTCCTACAGTCTATGGTCTCCACGCGCCAAACGTGTGACGAAACAAAACCGTCAACAAAACTACTATCCTCTTACATCAACAAGAGAATAATGGGATGTACGTCAAATGATGAAATCACTATCACTTTTACAGCTCTGTACTTTTTGTTTGTCCAATGGCAAAGTTTAGTCATTTTACATCCTGTATTTGTTTACTACTCGGCTTCTGTGCTGGTCAACTTCTGACTCAGTGCCCGGCGTGCAAACTCTGGGGTGTGTGCAGAACACTCAGGCCAGTTTCAGTTCAATTGAGCCATAAACATAGAAGGGAAAATCGATCTCCAACTGTTTTACCAAGGTAATATACAGGGTGTTTCCCTGCCTCTCTTTCAGTGTATGATAAGATATGGTAAGGCAGATATAGTACATGGCTTTAGTGCTTCTGATGATACACCTGCTGTTGCCCCCTAAGGAGGTGCAATTATCTCAAATACTTATGTGTTGGATATACATAAGATTTCCACGGTAACCTCAACCTCTCCTTACCATAGACTGTATATAGAACGGACACGGTCTGCCTCCTCGCTGGGTGAAGCCACCGCAAGAACAGCACCCTCTGGTAAAGTAAAGGTCATAAATCCCACCTTCTCCAGCAAAGCTTATGGAGCTGTGGACAAACTTTAGAAATTTTTTACACAGAATATAATTTTTCTCCCCTCTGCCTGTGATGTTAACATGTAGTTACAGTAAGACTGTTTTGTGCTCAAGTCCTCTTTTTTTCTGTGCAGCTCCATTTTCAAAAGTTATTAGGGGGTTCATGTTTTCTATGATTGACACTTGATACAGCCTTTGGGGGTACGAAGATTGTGTAGCTCACCCGGCTGTTTGAGCCGAGAGTCTTGATTCTTGGTGACTCTCCTGCTGAATGTGTACAATGCTATTGTGCAATGTTGGTTTCAGGAAGTGGAGCAAAAACTTGGAAATACTGAGAGCTTTTTGGCTTCAAATCTGTATACTGGTGGACGGCGGAACAAAGTTGTCCATAGTACAGTCTATGAATCTTACTCATGAGAAGATGTGTTGGTTGCGTTAGAAGATGTGTTCTTCATAAAACTCCAGGCTGTTGGAGTATGAGCCAATACCCATTTCTCCCTGTTCTGAGTTGTTGAACAGTTTTGCCAGAACTTGCAACAAACGTACAGTTCTTCTCCGTATCCTCCTCTAACTCCTTCAACATCCAATTTTTTGCTTTTCAACCACCTGCTGCAGCTCACTCACAAACCTCAACAAAGTCAAAGTCCAGTATCTCTGAATTTGGATCCAAAACAAGCACTTTGCATGAATGTGAGCGAAGCGTAATCTAGATTTTACGTCTCCACCACCCTCTCTAGCTAAGGTTTAACACTCAAGGCTGCCAGTTGGTGTGGCAGCCTTAATGCACCCCTGTCCCCATCAGGCCTGCTGGATATGTGTGTGTGTGTACGTGGATAAGTATACCGGCACATGTCGTCCTCAACCACTCAACATTACATTGATGTATTTTTATGTGGGAAACAGATAATGTCTTTACAATGTGTGGTTAGAGTTTAGACCAACACAGTTCAGTGTGTACTGACCCAGACTGATGAATAATGTAGCAGCACTGACCACAAGGATGTATTAGCAGACTTAATGACTATATTAATGGTGCTCAAAGCTGGATAGAAGGGAGGCATTAAGAGGGCTGAAAAGTGTTTTCAATAAAGGTGTGGAACAGTGGTTGGCTATGATAATAATGCCAGTGTGTTTATTCTTGCATGAGAGTTTTAGTATCTGTATTTGTGAGGCCTTGAGAGATTAAGAAATACTTGAAAATAGAGAACAATTTTGCTGAATAACCAATCTATCTTCGAAGGAAAGTTAAATCAGTTCGCCGGCTTTCTCTCTCTCTCTGATTTTAAAACCCCATTTGTTTATATTGATTCATGTTATGCATCTGTTTGCTTGGTAGTGCACATGCACTATTGGAGTGTTTGTTTCCCACTGTCCCTGTAATGTCTGTACCATTATCCTTACCCTTCTGTGCTGCTGATTTATGAACCGCAGTAGAAGATAACTCTTTTCTTCTTATTATTTTGAGTCATGGGGAAAATATTGTTTTATAAATAGGCTATTGTATAATAAAAGTGCATATATGAGCATTAGTGTGGTTAACGCCTCTCTTCTTCTGACATGTCTGTCTGCTTCATGTCATTGTATTTGTCCCCTAGACGAGTAACACTATCTACCGCTCTCTTTCTCCTTTCTCTAGTCCCCTTTCCCTCCTTACCTTACCCATCCCTCACATTCGAACAATCATCCATCCTTCATCCCATCTTCAGCCCTCCCTTAGTTCTTCTGTGTCTGGCCTGAGTTGTAAACAACTGTCATATCTGGCCTTCTTAAATAGCCTTCACAGTTAGGCCAGCACTCAAGCACTCATCAAGCACTCACGCACACACACATGCACACACACACACATACACTCATTTCTCATCAATGTTTCAGAGGGAGGGCTAAATATCAGCTAGCTATACCCCCATACCCAGTCCTCACTTATTTACATCCGGCTGCCCCAGCGCCACTGAAACCTCAACAGCAACATCAATGATTCATAAGCCAATGTTTTAGCAAAATGCATGCTCTGTCGATACTGAGGAAGAGGGGAAAGAAATAGGAGGAGGGAAATGACAGGTGTAAGGGAAGCATGTGAGTGGACAAAGGAGAGAGAGAAAAGAAGAAAAATATAAAAGTAAAAAAGAATGAAAAATCTAAAGTGCATGTACAACAATGAAGATTAAAAAAAATCAAAGTTAAATAGGGTTGGAAATATGGAGTTGGAAACAGATATGTGGGAAGACAAAGCGGGAGAAAGTTAAGAGCCAAGAGAGTAACTTGAAGGAAGAATGAGGAGAAATGAGGAAAGTGAAATGTGGGGTTAAAAAAGAAGAGGAAAGACAAGGAGACGATACGATCAAAGGGAAGGAAAGGGAGAAAGGCCCCACATTAGAGGAGAGACGCAACAAAAGTAAGGAAGAACATGAAAAAATCAACAAAAAAGACGGGAAGCGGAGATGGTCCATCATGGAGGAAAAAAAGCAGGATGAATTGACAAGATACAGCTCCAACATTCTCCCCCCTCTGCTTTCTCATGTATTCTCCTGCTCTTTTCTTTTCCATCTCCAACACTCGATCCTCCTTCAGTGGATGAACATGGACTTTTTCATCTATTTTTTGTCAGGAATCAATGACATTCTGCAGAGCCAAACAGACACAGGACTCCGGTGTGTCTTTACTCTTAAGATTTCAGTAGAATATGACCCTCTTTTCCTCCTGGGACTTTAAAGGAGTTCACAGACATTTACATATTGATTGTAAGAATGTACCTGCATTTTTTATATTGTGTGTTTTAAAACTGTGGTATGTGTGGTTTTGTGGTGCACAGTAGGAGTAAAAAAAAAGTGTAATGGTGTGGGAGGTCCATTATGCTTTCATGTACTGTATATGTAACAGAGCCAGGGATGAAAAAATAATGAGGTACAGATATGCAGATACAGCTCATCACAAGGCTGTTTTCTCTTAGTTAGCTACAAGGTTTGTAAAAATTTGTTCAATTTTAAGATCAGTGGAAACCGATGTCATAAAAGGAGATCAAAAAATGGAAACTCATTTTTGTGAACAATATAAGCCTTGAATTGAGTGAGACACTTGTGCAAGTGTAAACCTTTACTTTTTTTATATAAGTTGATAGATAACTCAACAGAAGCGGATGATATGTTAAATAAGCGCATGCTAGATATGTGTTTCATTAATGTATTTGCTTTATTCACAAGTAGACCTACAAAAAAGCAAAGGAGGGCAAACTTTTACTAACAAGTTAAACAGGTGAGAAGAAATGTGGTTGTGTGACGTCATTGCTTGGCTACGGAAGCCCTGAGCAGACATGGTTTATTTATTTTTTTACCCCCGTTTTCTCAAGATCATGAGACAGTTTTCTTGTGATCTCAAGAAAACAAGGTTTCGCAGATATTATTTATTTTTTGAAAAGTCAGCGAACCATGATTTTGACCAGGTTGATGCGCTCTCTACAGCCCAGGAAGGGTGCACAATGGGTGGCCACACACCTCCAGAGCATCTCCCCCTTGATACTTTGAAAAGTCAGAGAACCGTTATTTTGACCTGGTGGCGGCGCTCTCTGTGGCCCAAAAGGTGCTGGGCAGGAGCTCTGGGGAATGCCTAGTCCACCGCAAAATTAATTTGTGATCTTGAGAAAACGAAGCCTTGTCTTCTTGAGAAAACGGGGGTAAAAAAATAAATGAACCGTGTCCGCTTCAGGCTTCTGTACTTGGCAACTTCACTCTAAAGGTCCTTTCACACCAGGACCGTTTTTGTCTTGGGATTATTTCAGACGTCAATATTTTTTTCAAACCTGTAACCTGTCAATACAAGCGTTCACATCACCAACGTTTTCCTGTCCTGCGATATTGCGGCATTTATGTTTTCGGATCACGGTCGATTTTTTAAAAGTTTCGCATACTGTGTGTCCACTTCTGACCAATCAGATAGCGTGTTGTTGCGACGTCTGATTCACCGGTATATCCAACATGGCCGACCGGCTGATTGTTTACGTGTCAGAGAACAGAGTGATTTTTGATAAAAGACACAAACATTACAAAGATAACGACCTGAAGGACAACATAGCATCAGATCTCTCATATGACGATGGTTTGTGTGCTTTAACAGTTTGCTAAACGTCTTTGTTTAAACTTTCATCTGTGCTAACCTAAGCTAAGAGTTTACTATAGTTTCATGTGCTTATCTTATCGCCTCTGATTGGCTATGTGCCGACCGTTTGGCTTGAGCGTGCAATGATGTTTCCAGCTTTTCTAGCCAATCAGAGGCAAAGGAGACGGGACTTTCCCCGGGAATATTTCGTAATTTCGCGTTCTATATTCGCGTCGGCCCCAGTGTGTAAGGACCTTTAAATTGTAACTAATCTAATCTAATTTAATCTTTAAAAAATTGTATCAACCTTTTTCTCCAGACTTTGACTTTTTTCAGTCGTTGATTTTTTTGTATCTTTTTTTGTATCTTGTCATTTTTTCGTATGAATGATCACTGTGTAACGTGCGTCCTTTACAGCTATGGGAGTGATTTATCAGAATTACACCTTTCAGATAAAAAAAGCAGGCAAAAGAACAAAGAGGTCAAAGCAACGGACATCACAAGGTAGAGGAAGTTGGCCTTGACTTTGATGCAGAGTTAGTCTGGGATAACAAGGACGGGACACTGCTGCTGAATTTCTCCATCTCTCCTTCTCTGCCTCCCTTTTTCTGTCATTTGGCGCCCAGGGTGAAATTATGATAATAAGAGAAAGGAAAAGCTATTACTGTGGCTGCTCTCTCATTATGTAAATGATATTAAACAGGCCCTCTGTGTGTGCTGTGTGTGTGTTTCTGGTGTGTACACAAATTTGAGCAGCCAGGTGCAAGTACATGTCTAAATGTTTGTGCGCAATTTTCTGTTTGTACCTCTGTGTCTATGATTATTTGTTGAGTAGTGGGGAAACCTAAAGTGACTTTCTCCATTTGCGTTTGAGTGTGAGCATGCATATGGGTTTGTGTGTGAGTCCTGAGGCTATGGTTCTAATCTTCACCAAGTGATTACAAGATGTCAAACTCCCCCACATTGATTATTACATGTTAATTACACCCCATGTTTCTACCTGCTCAGATGACACATTGCACACATTGAAAAGTGTACTATGAGATTTTGTGTATTCACGCACCATTTTAACATATGCATTAGATCAGTGCGCATTTTTCTAAGAGACTGCACAGGGACTGGTATGTGTAGTATGTGCGGATCAAAATGTTTAGAAAATCTGCAATGAGCAGTCACCGGGACATCAGTAATAGCTGTGGTGGAGGAATCAATGTAACTGTGTGTTTGCCTGCAGGCAACTGGCAATCTCTGACACATTAGCAGTGACAGCTGCATTTTTTGACGTTGGTTAAAAGTCTGAGAGGGAAAACAAAAAGATGTTTCATGACATTTGGCAGGGCTATACAGATGCCCTGAATCAGAACTCTTCTCTTTGGATTAAAAAAAAGAGACATGTTGTTTTGCACAGCCCCTTTAAAAGTCACACTACTGTTTTTGATCAGCTTCACTGATTGTTACCAAAATCCGAATTGCTGATATGAATATTCCTATTATTTATATCAAGAGGCTACCCCGGCTGTCATAGAGACAGGGTACCCCCTCAACAGGTCTTTAGTCTATCATAGGGCTGGCGAGAGAAACATATCTATACACACTCACACTCACGTCGACAGGCGATAAATTAACCTAACAAGCATGTCTCTGGACTGTGGGTGGAGGCAGAGGGGAGAGCACGCGATCTCCACACAGAAAGGCCACAGCCCGGATCTGATGAAGGGTAACAGTTGAACCAAAATACTTAATTTATATTACTTTACATTTTACTGGTGTTATTTTTGATACGGATCAGCTGGTGTTTTCCAGGTTCTGGGGATTACTTGGTTTTCTCCTTGCTGTCTGCACATGAGGAACAGGAGAGTAAAATAAATGAACAAATGAACAAACATACATGTTGTCAATATACTGTAAGGACTTAAATGTTCTTTTCAAACCAAATCAATAAGTGTAAGGGGTAAAGTGCATCTTATTCTTTTTTGACACCATGGTTTCTTTAAAATCATATTTTTTTTCCTCCTTCTCAGGTAGAAATCTGTTGTCTTTTTGTTTTATCCAAAAGTATTGCTTTCATCTCACTCCTGCAATAAAAGGATCCGTTTCACATTGGGGCTTTATAACTATTATAAAGATGATTGAGTCGACACCATTATTACATATGCTAGTTATAGGCAGTACGCTATAAAAAAGGTAGAAGCCTATTGATTAAATTGTAAAAACAAAATAAAGCATGGGAAAATTTAAAAAAAATGTAGACAGCCACAAATTATTTGATTAAAAAAGCAGCTCTTTTTAGTTGGTAATTAATAAATGAAAATAGTTAGAAACTTAATTTAAAAAAATGCACCAGAGTGACATAAAAAAAGCAGATAATCATGCTAAAACAGTTCTTAAGGGTGTTTTTTATGTATGTATTTGATTACACTATTGAGCCATTACTGCAGTCACTATAGCAGAATTGAAAGAGTGATTTCTTTCGCTGGTTTTCACATTAATAAAGTTGCCTTAATTGCTTATGATTAAAAGATCTATTTAAAAAATGAATGACAATATTTTTCAAATGATGTTTTCTCAGAACAATTGACATTCTGCAAAACCACTTTATGCCTGTGTGTGTGTGTGTGTGTGTGTGTGTGTGTGTGTGTGTGTGTGTGTGTGTGTGTGTGTGTGTGTGTGTGTGCTTGTTATGTGGCCTGTCCTGCTCTACTCCATTGCTTGTTTATATGCTTCATACCACTGGTCCTGGGGGGTTTATAAATATTGATCGTTACAAAGGATGGATAGTTGCTTGATAGTCTACCCAGGCCCTGGGAATACACATATATACACATAAAATACAGTCATGTGTGCACTCACTCTATCACACACACACACACACACACACTTACAAATATACTTCCAAGTTGTCTTGGCATTATTTGTTTATTTTGTGATTCTTATTTTAGAAAATAGGAATTACATTAAATAAAGTAATTCCATAAAAGTGTGGCAGGGGGTCTTATCCTGATTCTGGACCCTTTTAAAGGCTTGGATGTACATTTTTCAACAGACTTGATACCTTTTCCTCCTCAACCCGAACAGTGAATGGTTTAAGCTGCAGTTATGGTTTGTTTGTTTGTTACACTGTTAAAAAAACAACGACAATCTATTCACAAGAGTTTGTGTATTCTTAATTGGGTGAACATGAAAATTTAAATAGCTATTATTTAACACAAAAATACATGTCAGACCAACAATATTCACCTCAGTAGAGACCAAATATGTAACTCTAAATTAGCAGAATTTGCAATTTGTTGTTTGCACATAAAGCGGTTCTGACATTGACCCATGAGGTCTGCCGAAGAGGACCTACGGGGTTTACCACGTTCTGTCGCAAGGGCAAGTTCTCCCTCATTGTGTGTCCCGGCCAGCAGCGCAGAGGGAGAAGAGGACTTTTTTGAGTGGACCAGCTTCAGTCCAAGTTGTTTAAGTATTTTGTGTGAAAATAAACTTGCCTGAACTGTATTAAGTGTACTAACTAATAGAGAATGTGTTGTTGTTCTGCTTTACCAGATTTACTTAAGTAAATTGGCTACTTTTTCAGTTAAGTTAACAATGCTTGTCTATCTACGTTGCTTGTCTGCCAGAAAATTATCTTTCCGTTCCCTTGCGACGTGTTTCCTTGCTGCGTTTTTAATCGCACATGTAACTGAGCAGGCAATTTTATCTCTGGGGTACATTCACGATGCACGCCGCCTCCATGCTCACTTGCTGCGGAGAAAGCCATTAACTTTAGCCATTAGCAAGCGTCTGCTAGCTGATGGCTAGGGCTGCTAAATGTTTATATTGGCAAAACGAAGAATAAATAGTAGTGAAAAAAACAACAACAACTGAGCAAATAAAAGTGTTTATATTGGCAAGACGAAGACTAAATAGTAGTGACCATTCACCGAACAGCGGAATAGTGATACAACGATGAAATGTCACTTACGACAATGACCTAGCAAATCGTTGACACAATTAAAAAATCTTACTGCAAAAGGTTGCCTTAAAATTTTAAGTCTTTTCAATTATTTTTTTTTTTACAGTGTAGTTTCATAATTCATGAATAAATCATTCTTTTTCTCTTATTCTCTTAAATATTAAAAAGTGAAATGGGTTAAAAATGATTTGGGTGTGCTGAGGAAGAACTAACACACATTACATTTTTTTTTAATTGTCAAAAATTACAAATCGTAACATCCAACATACCTGGAAGTCTTCACTGTTGGAGGGACATTAAGTATGTGACAGAGACTTCTCTATATGTAATTTTATACGATCCATTATTGTCAGGATGTGGATACTGCTGCGAATGTTCAAAGCCTCAGAGAGAGAGTGACAGGATAGCCCCTGAGAGAACACAATAGATTGAGATGAATGAATTGAGGCTTGGCTAAAAGTGCTGCAAGATCACTTGAAGAGGTGGAGTGTCTGAACCCAGAATAATGAGACAGCAAGATCAGACGCTGTATAAACACAATCCCATCTGCACTGCCAGATACTTCTGAACACTCCATAAACCATCTTCTTTACTTTTTAAAAGGTCTCCTGTGTGAGCTGGGGTGGGGTGGAGGGGCAAAAAAGGGGCAGAGAAAGATAAGACGAGCTGTATTTCCATTTTTTTTTTGCAAGATGGATTTCAGACTACAATTAAATATCTATCTATCTATCTATCTATCTATCTATCTATCTATCTATCTATCTATCTATCTATCTATCTATCTATCTATTTTATTGTAAGACTTTCCCTCTCTTGTGTTATCACCGAAAAAATCCAGTTCAGTGTTGTGTGTGTGTGTGTGTGTGTGTGTGTGTGTGTGTGTGTGTGTGTGTGTGTGTGTGTGTGTGTGTGTGTGTGTGTGTGTTTCTAAGTGCGTGTGAGTGGTTGTTGGTGCGCTCCGGCTCATCTGCTCATCTCTCAAGGTGTAAGTTAGCGTCTAATCCCCAGTGACAGATAACTGGTTGGAGCGGCACTGTGTCAGCTCTGTTTAGCCAGGACAGGCCTTCTGAAAATTACACTTATCTCATAACCACAGACGCCAATTGTCCTCTGTGAAACGCACACACACTCAAAACGTGCAAGAATACACACATGCACTGTGATGAATAAATATGCATCACAGCGGTACACAAATAAATGAGGATATACTCACACTAATGTGTACACATGATCATTTTTATCCAGAAAGGGGGCAAACGAACTCATTAACATTTCAAGACAAACACACCTACAGATGAATAGTCCCAAAGAGCAACTTATTCAGTACCTGTCACCTTTGCTTAATAAATAAGAATCTGGTTTTGTCTATGTGTGTTTGTGTATAGAAGGAGAGGTTTAAATTGTGCATTCATTTTCTGTAGTTGTTAGGGAGAGAAATGGAGACGGGGTGAGCAGAGGAGCATAGCTGTCTAGATTAACCATCTAGTCGGTGTGGTCAGGCCCCTTAATGAAATCCAATAGAGATTCACTCTGCTTTAATGAACAACACACACACACCTCACTGCCTTTTTTATAGAACAATTTACAATTTACATCTGCAATAAGGCCCTGTCAGTCACATTGCATCTCTGTGTTTCTCATATAAGGAGTGCATTGGACTCTTTGGCTGTTTTTTTTCTGTCTTCTCTATTCTCTATCTGACTTTGGTCCCACTATTTTCTTTCCTTTCATATTAAGCATTATATAGACTTTACTTCTCTTCCTCAGAGTTGCTCGGTGTTGCAGCTCTGTCGGTGTTGGGTTCGTACATTAACCTGTCAGAGTCAATCTAGTTGGTGACACCCCTGATCTAGCTTTTACAACCAGTAGGCAAACCTGGCAATCAGAAGCAGCCAAATTAATTACTGTGCATGGCTGTGTGTGTGTGTGTGTGTATGTGTGTGTGTGTGTGTGTGTGTGTATGTGTGTGTATGTGCTTGTCTACAACCAGAGAAGTTTCGCAGACTCACACAAACACACACACATGCTGCCGTATTACATGAAAGTGAAACCTTCCTTTTTTGGTCACACCTTTCTGTTTCCACTCACTTCAATAAACCGACACCTCCGTGGGGGACAATGAAGCCTGATTAAGAAAAAGTTTGGCTTGATTTATTAAGTCTGGCTGATTTAAGTTTGAGTTTCAGTCCATCACTGTGGCTTTGACGGTGCCTCTAAATGGAGTCATGTTTATTGAGAAGAGACCATATAAACCATCCCATTTTATGTTATATTAGGTCATAGTTAGTAGAATTTTTCCAAAAGTTTTCAGTTCACGATTTGTGACATGATAGTTTATTTTTAGGGGTGTGATTTACTCAACTCAACTTTATTCGTTAAGCACTTTAAAACAACCACAGCTGAACAAAGTGCTGTCCATAAATAGACAAAACAACTGGATATAAAAAACAATTAAAACAATGGGTAGAGTAAAAGCAGAATTAAAAAGTAAAATATAGTTTCAATGTTTTTAAAAACTAATTTAAAAACATTGAAACAAATAACTACAAACAAACCGTAAAACACTAAAACAGGAGCCGAGTCTCATGGAGGGTTAAAAGCCAATGAATAAAAATGGGTTTTAAGACGAGTTTTAAAAATGGACAGAGTGGGGGCTTGTCTAATTTGGAGGGGTAGCTCGTTCCATAATTTTGGGGCCGCAACAGAAAAAGATCTATCCCTCTGAGCTTCAGTTTGGACCTCGGTACCTCCAGGAGCAGCTGATCAGCTGAGCAGGGGTGTAGGGGTGGAGAAGCTCAGAGAGGTAAGATGGAGCCAGACCATTTAAAGATTTAAAAACGAATAAAAGAATCTTAAAATGAACTCTAAAATGCACGGGTACCCAGTGGAGTGTAATGTGCTCCCTCTTACGTACTCCAGTTAAGAGCTGGGCGGCCGCGCTTTGTGCTAACTGAAGACATTTAGTTTTTACATTTCTCTATACTTTGTGGTGAAAATGTTGGCTTTAATACTTGGAGCACCACTACCACAACCTACAGTTTACCAAATCAGACTGAGTACCAAGCTTTTCCTCTATACACCTTTACAACTCAGTTTTAGGAATTCATGGATGCCATTTGAAGACAGCATGAGTCCCAGATCAGTAATCACAGCAATTTATGCAACCATACACTGTCTGTCATAACTTTGAATCATCATGTCACTCATTAAGTTGTCTTTGTGTTGATTCTTTCACAAGAGCTTCCTGGATGCATAGAGCAAGACTTTCTAAGCCTGACTTAAGTCGGTCTTGACTGTTTTAGGCCAGATTGTGCCAGCAAAAGATTTGAAACTTAATTACCGGATGGCGTCAGCTCAAGATAGGACTTTCAGGTATTCTTGGTCCTGCATGTTTGAAAGTAAATGGTTGTTGTCTTGGAAAAAACTCTTGTCTTAACTTTGAGAGCCAAGTGGCAAACTTGTTTTCTGGTATGAAGCTCCTGTGAGGAAAACTCAGGACAGAGGAAGATCCGACAGGTAGTGAGAGCTGAGTTTAACCTTAGTGAAAGGGTTAGGGTGAAACAACAGGAACAATCAAGACGTGTTATTTGAACACGCCTGTAGAGTCGGGTATTTGACCTGCTTGTCCTGACTCTGTAAAGACTAGACTGGCAACATGATCTTAGCCTTACTGGAACTGAGCACTTTGACTAACTAATTCAGCAACTTGGCCACGAGAGTAGACAGACTGCTTCCTGCACACACGTTTGTGAACTCCTTACATGTCTGGTAAGAGTCACAAAAATGGATGAGCACAGCAAAGTTTGCTTTTCTACCGTGGCATGGATGTGAGCTCATACCGGAGACATGGGAGGGTAAATTGGAAAGAGAGAGGTTTATTTAGAGACGTGGGGAAAACGCTGATGCAGAAAAGAGCTTGAATGACATTAATGAGGTTGTAATTTGACTACATCTGTCCTTAAGTATCAGTCTTGTGTGATCAAAGACAGACACTGTTTCTCTCCTTCTCTCTGTCTTACTCTCTTACATGCACAAACAAATGCACATTTTCCCTCATGCACACACAAATGCACATGCAGACACATGCAATCCTACTTCAGTCTTGTTGCCATCATTGCACTTTCTATTAGTCTTAAAGCTGCACTACTACATCTTATATCTTTATCAACGAGTCACCCATTCACACACTATAACCCATTTCTCCGTTACCTTCTCTAGTTCATATCTCCCCTTACACAGAGACATTACAGATGGCTGTTAGCTTTGCAGTGGTCCCAGTATACTCACAAATAAGCATCTCAACATTTCTTTATACATGCATTGTATCAACATACCTCTGTTGTGCTTTGCTTAAAGTCATGGAGTAATTTCTGTGATATTCAGTCGGTTTCTGATTAATTTATTGATGATAAAAGTTTTTTTTTCGTACTGTGACAGTAGCCCGCAGAGTAACAACGACAACAAACACAAATTCAAAATGTCAAGGTGCCCCTTTTTAGCAACTCTGGAACATTCATTATAGCATACCCACTAAGAAATAAAACTAAACCATCAAGATAGCCCAGCCTTGACTGGGCCTCAGGCATCATCCATCACACTCACTGCTGGTATTGTCTCTGTCCTTGTAATTGCTTATACTCATGTGCTGTCTCATGTGCCATTTGTCATCCTGTGTGGGTGGCTGGCTTTGTACTAATCACTGCTATTAGGATCATATAAGTACATCTAAACAGCCTCTAATTTATTCTGGATACTATATTAAGCTTCATTGATTTTTTTATTAGCCTAAATTTGCTCCAAAATGTGCAGATTTTGATGAAAAGTGACTTTTAGGGCAGTTTCAGATCCTATTGAAACAACTTCAGGTGTTAACTTGAAATCATAACAATATTTAAAATTAATTTGGGATAATTCTCCTTTTTATCGCTCGGGTACTTCAACTACACACCTCCGTTAAATCAGTTAAAAGTTATTATTTTTGTTTGCTGTTTTTAAAAGCAGAAGACAAGTATCTGTGATTACCACGCAGAGCCCGGCCCACGCAAGCTTCATCGCTCTTAAAAGTCCTGTCCATACTACTCCGTCTTCATTTGGTATTCACTCTCCCTCTACAAAGTGTATCTCTCTTTTTTTTTTTCTTTCTTTCTCCGCTTAAGTGTCATTTTTTTCTCTCTTTGTGTGTTTCTTCTTTTTAACCATCCAATCTCTTCCTTTCTTTCATGGATGCCAGGAAGCCATGAAATCACAGCCTCAGGCTGGTCCCTTGGCCTAATGGCTCCCAGCAGGAGGGGGGACTCAGGATGCAGGAGTACTTGGAACATGCGATATGCCAAATGATAAGCTGGTGCTGCACACGAGTCTACAATTCAGTGTTTCAATAACAAAG